TGCTGTATAGTACTCCATTGTGTAAATGTAACACACTTTCCTTATCCATTCTTCAGTCGAGGGGCATTTAGGTTGTCTCCAGGTTCTGGCTATGACAAACAATGCTGCTATGAACATAATTGAGCACATGTCCTTGTGGTATGATTGAGCATTGAAAGGATAACTTTTAAAGTCAAAATTAACAAATCAGGGAGGAAATAGCCACCTAGACACTAGAGGACCAGAACAAGCATCCCAGATTCTAAGACAGCTTGAGAGGAAGCTCAGCCCTCCTTCCTGTCAGTTTGTGAATACAGGGGCTGGAGTGTGGGTGCCTGGAGAGAGTATGAAATGAGCACTTTCCACTCAGTGACTCCCACTGAGCATCTCAGACTTGCCCAGTCTGCACACAAAGCAGCGGCTTCCAACTACTTGAGACTGGAAGCATATATCTGATCATCTTACTCGTTTGCTAAGAGGGATTTAATAGGACTTAGCAATTTTTTTTTTTACCTGCTCATCTGTCTCCTAAACTAGAAGCTAAAATCTAATTGCCCATAATGATTTTTAAAAGAAAATCCTTTATGTCTCTTTGGTTCACTTTCAACACTGCTAGTAGGTGCATCTGTGTGTCATAACTTTAGGGAGGTTTCTGCCCAAATTCATGCTTGTCCTAAAATACCTGGATGAAGTTTGAAGATAAGTTATTCATACTCAGAGAAAGGGCTTAAACATGTTCCCAGAGGAATCAGTAGCATTTCCAGGAGTCTGGGACATAGCTCAAGGGAAGGAACATTGCTGAGCCGCCTGGGGAGGAGGGGCTCATGCATATCCACTTACATGTACTTTAGAAGAGATCCCGGACTCTTTGGAAGGGCCCATTTAATTTTGAGTTTCAATTGTATCTTTTCAGATACAAGAAGCATTACTGATGACCTACTATGTGGCAGGCCTCATTTTCACTTTTATAGCTTATTTTAAAACAAACAAGTGTTTTCAGAAGTCTGCTGTGTCCGCAATAGTACAAGGCAAAGTGAGGAATGTGGGTGAGTGGAGCTGAGGTGGAGAGGAGTGTTCCCCCTAAGTCACTTCTGAGATATCCCTAGGCCCTCCTCTTTCCATTCCTTCATCTACCATCCAGTCAGAGATGATTCAGGAATTGAAATCTCACGCCTAAGCCTTTGTATCCTGAGGATTCGCACTTACACGTCTGCCTCTTCCTCCTGGACATCTCAAAGGTGACCAGGTTTAACACAGATTCAGACTTGCCCTCTAACCATTTCCCCTCCCCCGAATGTCTTCACTCTGCTTCCTTTTGTGTTCCCCAGTAACAATGACCCTGCCATCCCATCACCATGACAACTTTCTCTACCTCCATGGGCAAGCCATCTAAAATCTGTCAAAACTCACTTTCCCTCTATTGTCTCTGCTTCTGTTACTGAAGCACTCATGGATACAGTCCAGTAACCGAACCAGCCCACCTGGACCTTTTCTAACCTCTGCCAAATGTATTTGCTATGCTAAAGTAAAATAAAAAATGACTTCAATACACACCAAGTCCCCTCAACAGTTTCTATCCTAGATCTTTAGATTGATTGCTTTAAATTAAAATGTTCTTCTCACCTTATTGACTTCAACTTCTTTTTGAGGCAGAGCCTCACTGTGTAGCCCTGGCTGGACTGGAACTTGCCATGTAGAGCAGGCTGACTTCGAACTCACGGAGAACCTTCTGCTTCTGCACCCGAGTACTGGGATTAAAGGTGTGCATGATCACACCCAGCACCCAACTTCTTCACAGTTCTAATGAAGCATCAGTTTCCTGAGGAGGTCAAATCTCTCTGCTTCCCAAATGTGCCACTCCTTAATATTGCTCATCAAATTATAACCTGATATCTAATCACATTTAACTTTGTCTTTTTTCTTTCTTTTTTTTCAGTACCTACAAACACCATGTACAAACACCATGTCTGGAACTCCGTAGTTGTTAAGGAGCTATTTATTGGGTAAATGAGCACATAAACTCCAACATCAAATCTTCTCCCAACAGTAAATACCAACCGAAAGGAAAACTAAATGCATTTTCTTGAAGAAAAGAATGTATGAAAATCACCTAGTGCTTCATAGACGCGCAGGCTTGCAAACGTATATCTGCTTCATAACTTCCACAAAGACAGGTGCTGTAAGCCACCTGTTATGGTAAAAAAGTAAAATGCTGCAGATGCCCACGTGGCTGCTGCGGGCAGCAGGCTATGAGACCACACCGCAGGTGCCTGAAGTGGTAGCAGTCTGTTGCCAGCAGGTCCCAAGAGCAGCCAGTCCTAGGCAGGGATGGCACAGTTCGCCAAGTGGCTGCAGTGAGCCACAAGGGGCAGGGAGTCCCAGGCAGGGAGCCGCAACCCCAGCAGGTGAGACACAAAGACGGAAAGGCACGCCATGCAGAGTGAGGTTGTTTATTTATTTAGTGGGTTATGGAGAAGAAAGGGGAGAAGAACAGTGAGAGAGAGAGAGAAACGAGGAGGGGGGGGGGGCGAGACAGAAACTGCCCCTTAGAGAAAGAGACAGAAAAGGAAGGGACTAGGGCTGCAAGCAGGAAGGAAGATCTGCCTGCCTCAGCTGCAGATGGGGGAGGGGATGGGCAGGGCTTGTCTCTTAAAGGGACAGGAGAGAACATTACACTACCCCTTTGTGAATTTCTGGAGAGCAGGACCACAGCAATGTGATTTGTTTCCGGAATGCCAATAACAAGGTACTTCTCTTCATCTGTTTCCTCTTCCTAATGTTCTTTGCTCTATGCAGCTCAAAGGACAGAAGGGTGCCAAGGACGTCCACCTCACCTGGTGCTCAGGTGGCTTTGGAGGAGCAGTTAGCCAAGGGGAAAACCGTGTTCTAGAAAGAGAATTATATCTAAATCCAGGCCAGAGGATTCAGAAATTCAGATTAGCTTCCTCCGAGCGTGAGCTAGCTACTCAGCGGAATGGAAGATGAAGAGGTAAGTGTGTGAGTTCACTTAAGGACACATCCCACTAAGGAAAAGCTGTGCGGCATCTGATTGTTTTCTAAAACAGCGTGAAGAGAATTGTTTGGCACTGTTGGTACATAACAGACTCACAATTCTTGTCTTTAAATATGAAGCCCAAATCACCTCGTCTAAAATTATGCTTCCTACCAAGAGTGCTTAGTAACTACTCATAGGAAGGAACACAGGCCTGGAGGCGGAACCCTCAGCTCTCCTCAGACAATGACTCCCACTTAGAGAATCCTGACAAAGGCACTTCCGGTTCCTCCCCCATTTCTCTGCCACTCACTGTCTCTGCGGCTCTGGGAAGGCTTCAGTGTTTTCTGTGTAAAGGAAGAAGGTTGACTCTCTTACATCCTTAAAGTTCCTTCCAGTTCTGAATCACTTGATTCGGGCCTGTGTTTCTGCAAGGGATTGAAGTCACTTGAACCATCTGTCCAATTGCATGAGCATTTGGCTGAAAGGTTCTGGACTCCTCAGAAGGATCCATTCAAAGGAGGAATTGATGTAATCGTAATTAAGTGGGCAAAGAAGCCTGTGCTTTCCTTTTAAACAGGAAGCAATAAAAGCTGATGTGGTAATGTGTCCTAGCTAGGGTTACTATTGCTGCGGTCAAACACCATGACCAAAGCAACTTGGGGAGGAAAGGACTTATTTGGCTTACACTTCCACATTGAAGTCCATCATTGAAGGAAGTCAAACAGGACAGGAAGTCAAACAAGGCAAGAACCTGGAGGCAGGAGCTGATGCAGAGGCCATGGAGGGGTGATACTTACTGACTTGTTCCTCATAGCTTGCTCAGTCTGCTTTTTTAAAGAATGCAGGAGCATCAGCCCAAGGAGGGCACCACCCACAGCGGGCTGGGTCCTCCCATATCAATCACTAATTAAGAAAGTGCCCTACAGACTTGCCTGCAGCCTGAGCTTATGGAGGCAATTTCTCAGCTGAAGCTTCCCCCTCTCTGATTACTCTAGCGAGGGTCAAATTGATTTGAAACTAGTCAGGACGTGTTGGGAGACAATAGTGTGGCTACTTGGGAGGTCCATTAGTTAAGGCCACAAATTCAAGATGATCCTGGGCAACAACAGGGAGACCCTTTTCAGAAAAGAACACACTGTCCCAGTAATCCAAGAGTTTGGGAGGCAGAAACGGGAGCCTGCAAAGTTTAAGACTTCTGGGCTTCAGGGGGGTTTCCACAACAGCCTGGATGGCAGAGGAAGACATCGTAACTGGGAAGGAAGTGGGTATGAATGTGGGGCACACAAATTCGAGGTGCTCCAATCACCTGCTGCTTCCGCCCCCAACAGCAATACCTCCTCCCATCTTTAGGAAAATCAAACGCCAGCTTCTTAATCCATAAGACCAAGACTATGTTGTGTAGTCCTGTTTGCTCAACTCCTCTGCCAGGAAATAGGACTCTGAAGTTAATTTTTTTGCTTTGTTTTGTTTTGTTGTTGTTGTTGTTTGTTGTTGTTTCGTTTTTTTTTTTCGAGACAGGGTTTCTATGTAGCTTTGGAGCCTGTCCTGGAACTAGCTCTTGTAGACCAGGCTGGCCTCAGACTCACAGAGATCCCCTCCTTGCCTCTGCCTCCCGAGTGCTGGGATTAAAGGTGTACGCCACCACTGCTTGGCTTTTTGCTCTGTTTTACAGATGCCAGATACACTGTTTTGCTGGGGCTTTTCCTGTTGGTTTGTTTGTTTGTGTGGTTTTTAATAAGATGGGGCATCTCACTGTGTAGCCCGGGATAGCCTCCTGAAGTGCTGAGATTAACAGCATGCATTGGCATGTCTGGTTCATTTTTTAAAAATATCTCTTTATTTTGAGATTATAATTGGATCATTTTCCCACTTCCCTTTGCTCCTGCTAAGTCCTCCCAGATACCCCTCCTTGCTCTTTTCTAATTCATGCTTTTTCATTAATTGTTGTTATGTGTATATATGTGTGTGTGTAATATACATCACATATCTTATTTATAACATATGTGTAATAATATATATGTGATCTATACACATACACACAAACATATATAATCCTAAATCTATAAATATAACCTACTCAGTCTGTATACTGTTACTTACACACAATTGGCTGAAAACATACAAACACCTGGAAGCCAACTGGTGTGCTCTTCCCTGGGTAAGACTGTTTCTCCTGTTCTCAGCATCCCCGGTTGCCTGTAGCTCTTTGTGTACGGTTGAGGCTTTCTGTGCATTCCCCATCCACTTTGGCAAGTCTGTTGTCTTTTTTCAGCTCAGGTTCAGGCAATAGCATTGTGAGACTTTTATAGGTGTTGCTTCTGACATCCCTAGAAGACGCAATCTCACAGCAAACCGCCGGTTGCCATAAGAAAAAAAGCTGGGGAAAACAGAATTTGTTAAAGAAATACTCAAATTTAACACCCATGACTAGAAAATCTCTAACATGTAGCAAATAATAATTTTCATGGGAGTAATATAGCAAGTTGAGATATGTATTTGGCTAGAACACACATCTGTCACTTCTCACACAAAGCTAATGCTAGCTGCCTTTAGAACCATGGTGGCTTCTGTTATGTCAGCTAAAGATTAACTTGAATCTTATACAGACAGGATAAAAACCCATTTATTTTGCTTTGAAAGACCACAATATAAGTTCAGTCTTTTAGTATCCAGTGCTGTACGCTAACTCTGAGCCTTTGTAGACTAAGCCGGTCTTTCAATATTTATTTAATGTATGTAAATAACACATGACCCTTCAGGCAATGCTGCTTACATTATCTGAGGACCCACTGTTGTCACTGGCATCTCAAGATCTCAAGGCTTCTCAGTGACTCTGGGCACCACCCTCATCCTATTGGAGTCCTTATGAATAACACAAGCGTAAGGACGCTTGTGATTACTCACAGCCAAACAGCCCTCTTTGAAGTTCCCAAGGGCAAACTGCTCTGAGCGCTTACCCACAATTGTTTATGAGTTGGTCAGATTACAAAGCATATCTTAATTTGCTCAAAGCTAAGCAACACTCTTTCATGTTTTAAATCTGAGTTACAGTATCCCTAACACGGAACAGGCACGTAGAAACAATCTGTTTTCACGGGAGACAGCAGCATCAATAGAGTTGGACGTGCGATCACTCTCGTTGTAAGAGATTGGTTACTCCCTCCTGCAGTCCACAACCCCAGAGAATCTAGGTAGCAAGGAGGACCCTAAGAGAGACATACATGGGTCCCTGGGAAGGAGAAATAGACAAGATCTCCCTAGTAAAGTGGGAGTGTGGGGGGAGGGGAGAAGGGAAGTAGGGAAGAGAACAGGAGGAATGGGATGCTCCGGATAGGGAAAGGACAGAGAGGGAGAGCAAGGAGAGAGCTAGCTTGACTGAGGGAGACATTATGGGGCTAGCGAGAAACCTGTCACTAGGAAAATTCCCAGGAGTCCACAAGGGTGACCCTTGCTAAGACTCCAATCAATAGTGGAGAGGGTGCCTGAACTGGCCCTCCTCTGTAATCAGATTGATGATTACCTTAATTGTCATCATAGACCCTTCATCCAACAACTGATGGGAGTAGATACAGAGATCCACAGCTAAGCACTGGGCCGAGCTTCTGGAGTCCAGTCAGAGAGAGGGAGGAGTGATAATATGAGCAAAGGGGCCAAGACCATGATGGTGATACCAACAGGAACAGCTGGCCCAAGCTAGTGGGAGCTCATTGACTCCGGACTGACAGATGGGGAACCAGCATAGGCACAAACTAAGCCCTCTAAATGTGGGTAACAGCTGTGTGAGTGGCAGATTGTGGGGCATTGGCAGTGGGACCAGGATTTTTCCCTAGTGCTTGAACTGGCTCTTTGGAGCCCATTCCCTATGGAGGGATACCTTGCTCAGCCTAGATATAGTGGAAAGGTCCTTGGGTCCTGCTTTAGGTGATGTGACAGACTTTGTTAACTCCCCATTGGAGGCCTTACCCTCTCTGAGGAGTGGCTGAGGGGTAGGGTGGGGAGAAGGTAAGGGGAGCCGGAGGAGGGGAGGGAGGGTGAAACTGAAATTAGCATGCAAAATTTAAAAAAAAAAAGATTGTTTTAATAAAAAAGAGAGAGAATGGTTACTAACATTGAAAATGCTCAAATCCCACCAAAGGAAAAGTCCATATTTTCCTGGTGAGGTACTTTGTGAGGATATCTCGAGCGTTCATAGCAAATTGCTCACCTTAGGATGGCGGGACAGGAGTGTGGAGGACCCTGTCACTCCAGCAGTCAGAAAGTCGAGGTAGCTGTTGGTCAGTGTCATCCTCAGCTGCACAGAGCATCCAAGACCATTCAGGCTACATGAGACTCTGTCCCCAAACCAAATAACAGCATAAAGTTGGAGAAGAATGTTTGGGGGACACTGCCATCTCGAGTCAGCATGGCTGGCCAGTCCTCCTGCGCCCCACTGCATCCAGTCTTAAACCTCCTACTTTTGTTTAGAAAATCTTTGTCTAGACGTCCTGTTGACTCTACATCCCATTTTTTAGAAGATGTATCTTATTCTTAGTTCTGTGCCTGTGTATGTCGGGGAGGGATGTGTGCACACAAACACAAACACCCTCAGAGACCAGAAGAAGGTACCAAAGCCCCTGAGCCTGGAGTTACAGGTAATTATTACTCCAGTCCTTTGCAGAAGTAGTACAGAATTTTACCCCTGAGCTGTCTCTCCAGACTCTACATCCTATTTTTATAAGGAAATTTGTTAACAATTTGCTATTAAAAAAATCCCATGCTTATTTTATTTTCATCTATCTCCACGGTAACTACACATCAACAGCCCTGGTGTAAAACACCAGACCAAGACAAAAGCATATAACTCAGAAGCTAGTGTTTCCTAAGCACCAGCTCTCTGAGCCAGTCTGGTGCATGCGATGGCCAAATGCACTCTGAACCCACAGTAATGGGATCAGCTGTACCCTTCCATCAGCCCTGGAGCGATGACATGGAGCCTGTGTGGAATTGTGTGCAAAATATGTAACGGCAGAAACAAAATTAGGGCTAAAGATGGCTCAGTCAGTAAAGTGCTTGTCTCACAAGCACAAGGACCTGCATTCAGATCCTTAGTCCCCACATAAGACCCCGGATATAGCAGCCACATCTGTATTCCCCCCACTATGACAGCAGAGGTGGGAGAAGGGGACTTCCTGGGGCGGATGGCCAACCAGGCTAACAGAATCCGTGAGCTCCAGGGTCAGTGAGAGTTTTGTCTCACACAAGGGAAAAGAGGGCCGGGCAAAATGGCTCAGCGGGAGAAGGTACTTGTGGCCAAATCTACAATCTGAGTTTGGTCCCCAGAAGCCTCATGGTGTGAGGAGAGAATGGACTCTCTCAAGTTGTCCTGTGACTTCCATATAATGTGTGTACAGCCTCCTTGCTCTCTCCACCACTACCACTCATCAAAATAAATAATTTTTTTAAGAATAAGGTAAACCGAATAGGGTGGCATGCTCCTTTAATCCCAGAATTTAGGAGGTAGAGACATGAGGAGCTCTGGGAGCTCTGGGCAGCCTGGTCTACACAGCAAGTTCCAGGACAGCTAGGGAAACACAGCAAGTTCCAGAATAGCTAGGGCTCATAAAGAGACTCTTGACTGGGTGAGGAGGAAAGGAGGAAAGAAAGGAGGGAGGGAGGAAGGGAGGGAGGAAGGACAAAAAACAAAACCACAAAGTAAATAAGTAAAAATACATAAATAAAAATTAAGGTGGACCATCTAGAGAGATGGCTCAGCAATTCAAAACACTTTTCACTCTTGCAGAGGACCTGGGTTCGATTCCCAGCATCCATATGGTGGCTCATAACCACCCAGAACTCCAGTTCCATGGAATCTGACACCCTGTGGTTCATATACATATTTGCAGGCAAAACATTCATACACATAAAGTAAAATAAGTAAATCTTTAAAAAAGTATTAGTTGTGGTGTGGTGGTGGCGCATGCCTTTAATCCCAGCACTTGGGAGGCAGAGGCAGGCACATTTCTGTGAGTTCGAGGCCAGCCTGGTCTACAAGAGCAAGTTCCAGGACAGACTCCAAAAGCTACAGGGTAACCCTGTCTCGAAAAAAAAAAAAACACAAAAAAACAAAACAACAACAAACAAACAAAAACCTACACACAAAAATTTTAGGCCAAGTGGTGGTGGCGCATGATTTTAATCCTAGCACTCCGAAGGCAGAGGCAGGGGGATCTTTGTGAGTTCTAGGCCAGCCTGGTCTACAAGAGCTAGTTCCAGGACAGGTTCCAAAGCTACAAAGAAACCCTGTCTCGAAAAACAAAAAACAAAAAACAAAAAAAAAATAGTATTAGTAGAAAATAATAATACTAAGGTGGAAAAGCAATCCAGGAAGACGACAGACAGCCGCCTCTGGCACCTGCATGCAATACCCTGGCATGCACCGGGACCAAGAGCCAAAGCGAAGACAAGCTTTGCCATCTGGGTGTCATAAGCGGCTTCCCAACATTTAAGCACAACATTATTAGTTCCGTCGAGGGAGCAGTTCCCCTCCCCAGCAGGAAAGTCGCCGGAACTCCTCTGACTCACTTGCAAACCTTGTCGGTAGGAATGTGACATCAGCTTGCGTTCGCAGTTCAATCCCATAATTTTTCAATGTGCTCTTAGAAGTCTAAAGTGACGATTTTGTGTGCCGCACATTCCCCAGACAAACATGACAGACTTTCCAGTGCTATGCAGCCAAGCAACAGTCGTCCCGGCGGCTGGCTCCCTGCCTGAGAGGGCGGATCACAGCGGCCCAGCACAGTCACTTCCGTGTAGGTATTCCCGTCTCCCAGTCCGCCTTCATAAAGCTCAGGTGTTAGGACACGTCGACTATTTCAACATGCAGATTGACAAAGACTTATGCAAGTGACAAAGGCATGTCCTCATCAGCAAATGCTTCAGATAATTAAAATAAAAATAACAGCACTGGAGTTTGCAAACGGAACCTAACATCGAAGAAAACGAAGGTCTACAGTGTAGAAAACAAAAGGTCCTGGCTGGAGTCTTAGAATACTGCAGGTGAAAAGTGTGTTACAAGGTGTCTAGTTTAAACCATTCTTCTGATAGAGATTGTGTGTGTGTGTGTTTCGAGACAGGGTTTCCCTGTGTAGCCCTAGCTGTCCTGGAACTCGCTTTGTAGAACAGTCTGGCCTCAAACTCACAGTAATCTCCCTGCCTCTGCCTCCAGAGTGCTGCATTACTACATCTGGCCCTCTTTATAAAAAACATTTATTTTTAATTATGTCTCTAATTCTCTCTCTCTCTCTCTCTCTCTGTCTCTCTGTCTCTCTGTCTCTCTCTCTCTCTCTCTCTCTCTGTGTGTGTGTGTGTGTGTGTGTGTGTGTGTGTGTGTGTGTGCAAGTGGTCTTAACTGCTGAGCCCAAACACCGTTTCCACACTCTTCTTGGTAAAAGGCCACTCAGTCTCTCCTTGGTCCTGTCTGAAGTACAGAAGAACATATCACCAACATTGGGTCAAATTTGCTGCACTGAACCTTCCTCTCACCAACTGTTCTGCCCCTCCCTACAGCAGTTGAGTTTTTGTTGTTGCTGCTTTATTACATCATGATAGCCCATTACCCCCAGGCCTTGGCTCTCTTTTTACTTTCCTGTTTACTGCAGTGACTCCAAGTTATATAGTCACATCTAAAGAACAGATACAAAAATAAAGATTCAGAAGTGGACCCCACAAATGAGAGAGAATGTGGTGTTCATGTTTCTGGGTCTAGGTTACCTCACTCAGAGCAATATTTTCTAGTTCCATTCATTTCCCTGCAAATTTCTATTTTTCTTTACAACTAAATAGTATTCCATAATGTATATGCACCACATTTCCATTATCCATTCTTTGGTTTAAAATGATCCACTTGAGACAGTTATTGACAACCACACTGATTAAGCCAATTAAAAGTTTTAGGTCCTTTTTATCGATAACCAGACCCAGAGCGGGCTTGTGCCTCTGAAGGCACAATGTTTCTTGGTGCCCAAGCTTGGGGATGCAGAGTTTTAAAGGCAAAACCCACAACGACCGTAGTTTACATCAAAGTTAGATGAGGGTCATGGTAACCTTAAAACATCCATCATGGCAGAGCACGGTAGTTATTTTAGACATAGCATGCCAATTATTTTTTACTTATATCTTTTCTCGTTACTTCATGTTTCTTAATTATTTTAGTTAACACTTCTGGACCATGGTCAAGGCCATGGACATCTCACCTGTGTTGCCAAGGCCGATGTGCCTGCTGAGGGGAGGCAGGCAGAGGACTGAGAACTGTCTAAGCAAACACAGCATGGAGTCAGAACAAGATGACGTTACTTTAGTCATTCCGGGCTGAAGGACATTTAGGTGGTTTCCATTGCCTAGCTATTGTGAACAGAGCATCAATGAACACGGCTGAGAATTATCTGTGAAGCAGGATGTCAAGTCTTTGGGCATATGCCAAGGGCTGGTATAGTCGGGTCACACGGTAGATCTACTTTTAGCTTTTGGAGAATTCTCCGCAGTTTCCACAGTGACTGCAGCCGTCCGCACTCCCATCAGTTGTGAATGGATCCTCTTCCCCACATCCTTGCCAGCTTGTTGTCAATCATTTAGCTGCTGACTTGGGTGAGAGGAAATCTCAGGGTACTTTTAATTTGCATTTCCCTAATTATTAAGAAAGTGCTAAGAAAGAGAAAAAGAAAAATGGGGGTAGGCTTTAAATTGGGGAGAGGGAGGGAGGGCTATGCAGGGAGAAGGGAAAGAGATAAATAGCACTGAGGATGTTGGAAAAGTCATAAGAAAACACTTCTTGTAGCTGGGTGGTGGCACACACCTTTAATCCCAGCACGGGAGCACATAAAAACAAAGAAAAGAAAAGAACCCGAAAAGCACTTAATGTTTACTATATTACAACATCGCGCAAGTTGTTTGACTCCTCTGTGCCTCAGTTCTTCAGTTCTCTAAAAGAGGGGCAATAGTCACAATAATATCGACTGACTAGAGCTAAGGCGACCGAGTGCTAGCGTAAATATATTTAAAACTGTTTCTAGTGTAGTCTTTTTGCCTGACATGGTGGGACACACTTTTAATCCCAGCACTTGGGAAGTTGAGGCAGGTGGATCTCGGTGAGTTCGAGATCAGCTTGGTCTACAAAGTGAGTTCCAGCCCAGCCAGAGCTACACACTGAGGCCTTGTCCCAAACAAACTAACAAACAAACAAGCAAACAAACTGTACGTAACACATGAAAAAGCAGCTATCAACGTTACCATTATTTGTTTATTTACTTCTCTTTCTCCCCACTTCTCTATCTGTTTCTGTCTCTGTCTCTCTTCAAGTGCTGGGATTAAGTCTGGGACTTTGCACAGGCAAGGCAAGTGCTGTCTTAGTGAGGGTTTTCTACTGCTATGAAGAGATACCATGACCATAGCAACTCTTATAAAGAAAACAATTAGGGTGTTGTTGTGGCATATTAGTGCACTCTGAAGAGGTACTGCTGTGATTGGTGTAATAAAAAACTGAATGGTCAGTCGGGCGGCAATGGCACACGCCTTTAGTCCCAGCACTTGGGAGGCAGAGGCAGGGAGGGGGGGGATCTCTGTGAGTTCAAGGCCAACCTGGTCTACAAGAGCTAGTTCCAGGACAGGCTCCAAAAGCTGCAGAGAAACCCTGTCTCAAACAAACAAACAACAAAACAACAAAACAAAAAGCTGAATGGTCCATAGCAAGGCCAGAGGGATAGGTGGGACTTCTGGGCACAGAGAGGGAATGAATAATCGAAGCACTCGGGATGCCATGCAAACAAAGAATGGGGAGGAAGAGGTAAAAGCCATGTGGTAGGATGTAGACTAATAAAAATATGGGTTATTTTAAGCTATGAGAGCTGGTAGGACAAGCCTACACTAAGGCCAAGCTTTCATAATTAACAATAAGTCCCTGTGTTGTTATTTGCCGGATGGTGGGCCCAATGAAAAAGTATGGCTACCGGGTGGCTTGCATATAGTTTCAGAGCTTTATCCTATTGTCATCATGGCGGAGAGCATGGCGGTGTGCAGGCAGACGTGACGCTGGTTACATATTGGTTTACAGGCAAGAAGTCAACTGAAACGCTGTGGTGTGGGAGAATGATCTGTAGTCTGTCAATTATATTTTAAATAAATGCTGATTGACCAGTAGTCAGGCAGGAAGGATAGGCGGGACAACCAGACAGGAAGTAGAGGCGGGTCAAAGAGGACAGGAGAATTCTGGGAAGAGGAAGCCCATTCCTCTGCAGTCCTGTCCAGACACCGAAGAAGCAAGATGTGACTACACCACTGAAAAGGGTAATGAGCCATGTGGCTAACACAGATAATAATGATGGGCTAATATAAGTTATGAGAGTTAATAAGAAGCCTGAGCTAATGGGCCAATCAGCTTATGATTAATGTAGACCTCTGTGTAATTTCTTTGGGAGTTAACGACTGCGGGAACCGGGCAGGACAGAAAATCACAACGACAACACTGGACAGTATCCTGAGCATAGGAAACCTCAAAGCACACCCTTACAGTGACACACTCAAGCACACCCTTACAGTGGCACACCCCTCCAACAAGGCCATACCCTCTCCAACAAAGCCATGCTTCCTAACAGTGACACTCCCTGTGAGAGTATGGGAACCAATTACGTTCAAACTGCCATAGCCTCCAAGGTGCAAATTCAGCCATTATTTCTATAGTATGTGAGTGTACATGTGTGCAATTGTAAGGGCACAGTGTGTGGGGGGGCCAGAGATCAATGACAGGTGTCATTTTTCTCCATTTTATCTTTTGATACAAGCCTCTCATTGGGTCCTGGAGCTTACCAATTGGTCAGCATAGTTGGCTGACCAGTGAGTCCCAGGTAGTCTATTCTCTCTGTCTGACTAGAACCGGAATTACAGGCAAAGGCCACCGTGAACAGCGTTTTCCAAGGGTGCTGAGACTCAATCTTCAATCTCCGTGCTTGCCAGGCAAGGGTTATCCCCCACGGACTGTCTCGCCAGCCTCTTGGCCATGGTTTCTGTTAGGCTCTAGTTGGGCAGATGAGAACTTTGCAGTGAAGACATCAGGTGGCCTACGGATGGCAGTTCCGATTATCATTGTCAAATGACTACAAGAATCAACATTTTTTGCCCCAAGTCTTTACTATTTCTTGCATGTTTGCTATTCAGTTAGTTTTGCATGTTAGCTTTTTGCATATTGGTCTATTTTTAAACAGATTCCATTCCAGAATTCTTTTCGGTGTCTGGCTTATTTTGAATTTGGAATCAAAATTATGGCTTCTTCCTAAGAAATACTGTTATTATTATAGTGTACTATTAAATAAAATTATCTAGCATTAACCCAAAGATGGCAAAAGTATATTTGGAAAACAGTATATCATAAAATGTATCAAAATTCGTAGAACAGGGCTAGGTCCGGCGACAAATTCTTGTGACCCCAGTTTTCAGGAGACTGAAGCAGGATTGCCACAAACTGAGGCCAGCGGGAGCTGCCTAGTGTGTTCCAGTACAGCCTGGGCTACTCAGCAAGGCTCTGTTTCAAAAAGTATAATGAAATTAGCCATTAACACGGATATATTGGTTTAACCATAAAAATGTAAGATATAAAAATGCGTCTATGCCATGGAGTCTCTACTCTGCTCACAAATTAGAGTCCCAGGGCTCTCCAAGCTGAAATACCCAGGGGTACTCCGCTATCAACAGCACAAAGAACC